AAGCTTGCCCTTCGCTTATCTGTAAAAACGCCACACATTTTCTTAAAGAAAAAATTTTCGGACAGGCTTCTAAATGCCTACAATAAAAATATCCTTAACTTGCATAGAGCAAATATGGATATATTCAATTMATTTTGGACGCCTGCGCTTGCTGTGGGTACATAATTAATTATATAAATAAATCCAATAGAGGAGTATCAACACTACTGAGGCAAGCCATATAGAAAATAAATGACGGAAATTTCTCCATTAAAAGAAAACTGCAGCACATCGGGAACTAGTTTGTAAACGGCTCGGAAATATCGGCTCAAGAAGCAGCTTATAATATTTTGGGACTGCATTTATGGGAAGCGAGTAATGGGGAGATATTTATAAATACATCACATCCAAACAATCGAGTAAGGATGTTTAAGCCCAGACGTAARTTGGATGCTTTACAGGAGAATTCTACGGACATATATGTACCGAGTGTACTGGATCACTACTCTCAAAGGCCCGAATAATTATGAACTATGCTTAGCAGATTTTGCAGCATGGTTCCGATTTTGCAAAACACGTAGGAATATTTCTTTTAATAATGAAGACTACAATGAAGTACAAAAGGAGGATGACACGACTGCTGCACCTCCAATGGCTTTAAAAGATGGATCAGGATTTTTAAGTAAAAGGAAGCAAGCACTTATTCTGCGCTGGAAATGTTTTAGCATTGAAAATTGAAGAGCTGATTTCTTCAGAGAAACTGCCATGAAGTTTCACCCATGGAGAAAAGAGGAGACCGAGCTCTTAAGTACTGATGTCTAGAGTGTTTGCAACGAACACAAGGAGCAAATTGRGCAGAATAAGCTCAAATATGACAAATTTTTATCCAACTTACTTGAACGGATTCTGGAAAACCTGTATGTTTCAGCGGAAGAAATAGCCGATGTCAGAGCTTCATCTCAACTTTTGGATCCCGAATTCAGAGCTCTAGCTGTTCCCGAGCATGTAGGAGATGTTAATGTTTTTCACGAGGACAACAATAGTGTAGAAGAGGTGGTTCGATTCGTTAAACTACCACCTCTAATATTAGAAGGAGGTTTACTGGTAATGGTACAATCTCTTAACAACGAGCAGAGGGAATATTTTGCTCATGTAATGCGCAATGTCAGTAAGAAGAAAATCTTCTACGAATATGTCGGAGATGGAGCTGAAGTGGGCAAAACCCGGCTTATAATGACTATATATCAGTCGTTGGCATTGCGCACTAACAGTGTACCAGGAACTAACCCCGAAACAGCCAAGGTGTTAGATAGATAGATAGATACATATCTAAGGAATGCACTGCGACCATAGGTCTACTGTGCCCTCTGCTAACTCACAGGGACTCGCTTAGCCTCAGCAAATTGACGAAGTCCAGTATTTAGCTGGGTGCTAGCGAGGCGATGTGATCATTATCCGGAAACATGGCTCCAAGGGCCTTCGACCTGCGCCTACAGACTGCAATGCAGTCGATTATCAGGTGCTCCGGGGTTTCAGGGTCCCTGTCGCAAAACCGACAGTTGGCGCAAGATGATAGGCCCATGTTAGTGCCTTTTCAGCTTGCAGTGTCCGGTATAGAATGCAACCAGGATCCTGAGTTTGTTTCTTTCGTAGGAGGAGATCGCTTTTAGTGCCGCTTGACTGTCGCTAAGTATAGCTATGCGCTCGTTGCGGTGGAGGTTTATCTCTATACACCGACCCATAGCCAGGACTTCAGCCTGGAAAATACTCGGAAAGCTTTCCATCGGAATGGAGAGCTTGGTACGCGGGCCTACAATACCCGCACCTATTCCTTCCGACATTTTTGAGCCGTCGGTGTACCACCTTAATGTACTATCCCTTAGCATTTGCTCAAGAGTGGGRTCGTTCCACTCACTCTTGCTCCCGAGGGTAACCTTAAACCTTTTCGTGAAGTGAGTTGATTTCGTAATCCCGTCCCTTGGGAGGAATGTCGTCGCTTATCCTCTCCATCATCTGGTACGAGATTATCTTGCCTTTGCCGCATCCCTCTGCTGTTATCTGCAGAAGTGAGTGCTTGGCTACTTGACCTGTCATTATATGGAGCGGCGTAAGTTCCAGCAGGACCTCTAGAGCTGCCGTCGGACAGGTTCGCAAAGCGCCCGCCATGCAAACACATGCTAGCCGCTGAAGCTTCGATAGTCGGTTAACCACCGAAGCCTGCGACGTTACAGAGGCCCAGGACACCGCGCCGTATGTAATTATCGGTCGCACAATCATGGTGTACAACCACCTAWCTATCTTTGGCTTGCAGCCGAAGGATTTACCCGCCAGCCGTTTGCACATCATTAACGCTTTTGTAGCTTTGACCAGCGTTTGATTCACATGCTGCTTCCACCGCAGGGTGGAATCCAGCATAAGACCCAGGTATTTGACCTTGCTAGTCATCTCGATCTCTCTGCCCCAAGTCTGAGATTCCTCAAGCCGGGTAGGGACCTGCGCCTTGTGAAAGGGACTACGGTTGTCTTTGAGGGGTTGATGTTTAGTTCCACTCCTCTGCACCACCCSTTTGCCAGATTTAGACCCCGTTGCACTAGGTCACAGAGAGTGTCTTCAAATTTGCCTCTTGCTATTATCACAATGTCGTCCGCATACCCTTGGCAGCGGATCCCATTGTCAGTTAGCAATGCTAATAGTTCRTCCACGACAAGGCTCCATAGTAGAGGTGATAGCACACCTCCCTGTGGACAGCCTCTTGTTGCTCCCAGACGGATCCTGGTGCGCAGCACGGCCTCTATCCATCTGCGCACCGGTGCTGCCATATTTCTTCTTTCCATTGCCCTGGCTACACTCCAATTACATGTATTGTCGAAGGCACCTTCGATGTCTAAGAAAGCACATAACATCACCTCCCCTTTCTCCAGTGAAYTCTCTATCTCCGAGGTCAGCTGGTACAATCTTGATCGAGTCCGTAGTGACTATCTGCCTAGCGGTTGCCCAATCCAAGCGGGATGGGATGTTCTCTCACAGGTAGACATTGGTCCACCTGGATGGTCTCCGGGAAGTGAGCACGCAGAAGCTCTGTCGCCCTGTCCTYCGCYCTGGTCGTAAAAGTCCCGTCACTTCTTTTGATGGCTAGCTCCGTGTTAGTCTTCCCACTAGCCAGAGCCTTGTGCAGCCGCTCCGCTTCTGGTGTGGAGGAACTCCTAAAGTTCGTTTGTTTTGCTGACTCAATCTCCTTATTGTAGAGGGTTAGGTAGCTCCTGTATTCTTCCCAGACCCCTCTAAGTTTTGCCTTGTTGAATAGGCTACGTACTCTTTTCAAGAGGTCTGCCAGCTTCTTTGTCCACCAGGGACAGTTGCGCCTATCTGTGGGCACTATTAGGGGGCAGCTACCGTTAGTGGTAGACCCGTTCAGCGGGCCCGTAACGCTATCATCGGTCAGCCTCTCCCTGTTTAGTTTTTCCTGCAGCATTGCCCTGAAGAAACTCCAGTTTGTCCTTCGAGGGTTGCGTCTTGGGGGAAGTTGCCTGACTTCAACCTTCAGTGCGTACCTTACAATTCTGTGGTCCGATAGGGAGGGCTCCGTTGAGACCCTCCATTTTGAGACCCAACCATTTGCGTTCTCGTTGCTGATGGTGATGCCCAGCACCTCCCTCCTGCTTATAGTTATAAAGGTGGGTTCGCAACCCACATTTTCAATAGCTAATTTACTACCTAGTACATATTCTAATAGATACCCACCCCTTGTGTTGCAGTCCGTGTTTCCCCACTTAGCAAGGTGTTACTCTGCGCACCCACTAGCAAAGCAGCATTTCGAATTGGAGGTCTAACACTTCATTCCGTTTTTTCACTCCCCGTTAACCAGGCCTCCGCCAATCTTCGGCCCCTAAATAGTTGAACACTATTCATGCTAATCTCATAGATATTAAGCTTATAATAACTGATGAAATTTCAATGGTTGGGGCAAAGATATTTGCGTATTTAAATTGTAGGCTCAGCGAAAATATCAAGAATTTTCCATCGCTTTAAACAACATGTCAAAGGGAAATATGACACACGCTGACATCCAATTAATCAAAAGCAGGGAAAAGACTTCTAACGAGACCCAATGAAGCCATCCATCTCCTTCATTCAAATGCTAGAGCAAATAATTTCACGAATGATGACCGGCGAGCTCATTTCGACTGTGACGGATACAATTAAGTCAAGTTCCTTTACAGAACGCAGCAGAACAAACATATTAGAAGCTGTGAAGGGTTTTAAGCCATCTGAAACACAGGGAATGTCTCACACATTGCAGCTCAAAACATCGATAAAATATATGGTAACAGTCAACATAAGCACGAGTGATGGACTAGTGAATGGTGCTGCAGGCAATCTAATGCACGTGGTGCGACTACGGATGAAATTCGCTGAACCAAGTTGATATTTAGGATAAAATAAATTTAGTTTTTATTTCGACCTTTTGATGAAGGAAACTATAATTTTTAATATTATAAATGTTAATAAAAATATATGTCGACGAGCGGGGCGGCGAGAATCCTAATACGACTTGCCGGCACTGGCAATCTACTTTCCGCAGGATCAGGGTCGAATTGTGGAATGGAATATATTAGCATATGTAGGTGTCGGCGCGGCGCAGTGTGTAAGCGAATAATGATGGGCGAACTGTCCGTGACGAATTGTGTAAACGAATTGTACATCCCATCCCGATGTCCATCCTTTTTGTTGAGTGGGAGTAGGTGTGGTGAGTTGCGTTGGTGTGGTGTAGTAATTTGGGTTGCGTATCAGCTGTCTTTTTAGGGTGCGCCAGTTTCCTGGGTAGAGTGGGTAGATGCTTAACTCATTTAAACATCCTGGGCCCCCTAGGCGAATATTTTGCCTAGTATTACGTATGTATGTATGTATATGCTGTTGCAAATATTTCAGTGTAATGCTGGTGTAGTTGCCGAGAGTGCATAAATACGTGCAACAGCACCCTAAAAATGCCTYTGGTTTTAAAGATTATATTTTATATATGTTTAAATTGGTTTTATTTTTGACACCTCCTCATTCGTAGCAGTCACAATGGCATCACCAGAGGCAAGAACTCGACGTTGATTGTCGGCGTCTTTCTCTTCGTCACCGAACAAATTTTCGCCGCTCAGTTCCGAAGCGACAAACTCAACTTCAGTGAAAATTTGCGGGTTGAACGGGTAGATGCCAGTTGTTCGGAAGCCGGATTTGATGGTTTTCGGCTGTCTCTTATACACATCTAGATGTGTATAAGAGACAGGCGTGATGCCATGATCCAACGCCAAATATATCGCCTCGATCGATAAATGCAAACCGTGGTTATCCAGCAGCAACATGGTTGGCGAATCGGCATTAGCACCGGTGTGCTTGATGAAATGACGCATGAATTGAGGGAATACGTCAGAGTTSATGTAATCAGAACCGTTCGCAACACCGACAGCGCCATGACTCTCATGAGTCATAAAAATCTCTTTCATGTTGACTCGGGGAAAGAGGAAGAATGGCGGTATAGACTGRCCACTAGCGCTSASGGCCAAAGCCAAAGACACATTGGTGCTTTTTCGGCAGATGTTGATGAGCCGACCTGCTTTTGTCCTTAGCGCGCGATGGTTTTGACAGGTCTGGTTGGCACGGCCGGGCACCCGGTTTCATCCATGTTCCATATTCGGTGAGGTTCAAACTGCGTCTTACCGAGAACGGATGAAAGGTTGGCAAAGAATGCATCGACATTCTCTTTGTTGAATCTCTTCGCACGGCTCTGGCTTACTTGCTCTAGTGTTCGCAGTGACAAATTTTTGTGGCGTTTCATGAACGCCAACTGCCAATCCTTACTCGCCWGTKGATTSTCRTTCCATGGATCCGGATACGACGCGCCAACTTTCCGAGTAAATTCATACGCGAGCTTACGAAGCTCCAWCAAACWAATTCCATAGTTGATGTCGCTGGCCTGGAGAATGTAGCTTATCAGCGCCTTCTCTTGTTCGATGTTGAAGATCTGAAATAAAAAAAAAATATATTTATTATTCGATGAAAGAAAWAGAAAGAAACCAGCAGAACTCACTGTTTTTGTACCCATCGTCGTGCTTTCAGCCAGCAAATTCTTCATTAAATCGGCATTGGCAGTAGTAACGTCGATGCTCGCACCATCAAATGCTGCAATATAACGCATCAGGTTGGTCCTCKSWATTTTGTGTGCCGTCGCAGATTGTCGAACGCTGTTGTGATGTATTTTCACCGAAAAAATATTGTCGAAATCAACAATTTTCTCTTGTTTGGGATAGTACCGCGGCATAATGACTAAAAAACAATTTTCGGAGCACGAAACTATCAGGAAATGTTGAAAAACTATTGTGTTGTTGAAATTCTGCACGAAAAATCACTTATA